TCGCATTAAATCGCCTAAAATCGCTTTAAATCGCAGTGCTTCAAAGTCCCAGTTTTTCCTTAAATCGCCTAAAATCGCCCAAAATCGCATTATATCGCAGCGATTTAAGGCGATTTACCGCCCCAGAGTAGGCCTTAATCTCTATACTACGGTTACGATTCCCACCTGGTTCATCACTTGCAAGTGGTAGTATTACAGCCCCGGTAAACGTGGCAAATAGTTGCTACCTGAAGTACATAGACATAGAATTTTGCCTTCTCACACACAACTTAGTAGGTCTTAAAAAGTGTGTAAATTTCCGTTCGAATATTTCTGTCCATCTGCTAACACTTATTAATAATAACTGAAGCACCGCGCCGAACACATTATCTATTGTCTTTAATGCATTCGGCACATGTGAAGTACGGCGTATGAAACGGGCCTTAGTCGGATAAGGATAGCTAACTAGAATGTCTTTGAAAAATAAGTAACATTGACAAAACGTTACTGTGTAACCGAGTAAACAATTACACAATACATGAACAGTCAATAGATACATAATACAATACTCAATAGGCGCAATAATAATCACTTGTATAGTTAATATTTTGTATTTGCCGAGACACTTTTGTCACAATTGTTTCTGACAATTAATCTATTATCTATACGGTAAAGAAGAAGTTCTGCAGTCTAAACTGTACTATGCATACTATAAATACAACTATTATATAAAATTTAAATATTAAATCCCAAAATATTGGATAATCCTGCTATCCTACAGGCTATATCCGTATGAAATTGCATTGCTGGTATACGGCCTATATAACTGATACCGAGTATTTTTTACCTTGTATATTTAATCATGCATGTGCATGCAGTGTAGCCAGTAGCACGCTTTTCAGCAGCAAATTTTCGTTCTCTGTTTAGATTTTAATATAATTAAACGAAAATCTTAAAAATAATATAATTTCAAAATCGAAAGTCCAAAGTCCAAAGTCCAAAGTCCATAGTGCAAAGTCCGGTCCAAAGTCCAGTCCAGTGTTTACAATATGCCTCTTGAATTAGCAATATTGCAGTTAGTAGATTTATTACGACTGTTCACCCCAACATAACAAGTAACATGTTAATACTTCATACGTTTTTTCCAATTTACAGCGTTCAATTTGAAAAAAAAAAAATATTCTCCGAAAAGAAATACTCTTTGTTTAATTTAAAGTGTATAATATTAAAATCTGTTTTAAAAGTACAGCTTGTTTTTGTATTAATTGTATTCAAATCAAGCATCCCTGTCTTAGGGAAAACCCAACTATATTTTGACGGCATTGCTATAAATGGTCTCCTTGACATACCAAAACCTCAACACGGTCACCCACAAAGTGCACAGTTTACACTGTATTTGTATGCGAATGGCCAACGATAAATTTCAAAGCCATGCCATTACGTATCAGTTGGGCTGCGGTAATTTGAATCATACGTGTATGTTTAAAATGAACTCCATACAATTTGTGTTTTTTTGTCTCTTTGTCTTCATGGTCTGAAAATTCACGTGTGTATGCCCTGTCTGGTTTTCACGAACAATAGTCAATATGTCTTGAATGTTAACGGATGTAATCTACTTCTGATTTCTGTTATCTTTTAAGATTTTAATATTTAGCTGTACCTCTTTTAATAATTTGAAGATTATAATTATTTCTTTCTTCAAAACAGGTGCATTGACCAATCAGTTTTGCAATACGATCTGTTAAGTCAGCTTTTCTATCTCTTGATTTTGTTCCTAGCTCAAAATATAAACAGATTTCTTTTAACTCAGGAATTTTGAAAACACCAAGTTTATTCTGATGGTAAAGTTCGCATAAGTCGTATTTATCATATAAAATAGGATGAGCGGTACCTATTGTCGACATGATTTGATGAATCAATCCCAAACCCTCTTCCTGAATTTCATCATCCTCATTTTCATCTTCGTTTTCATCGCTAAATTCATCAAAGTTCTGAATACTTTCAGTTAAATTCTGACCTAATCGTCTATCACCTTTTCTCTGTAGCTTCGTTAATCGTGAAAAAACCCCTTTTATTTGTGTTGGAGTCAACCATTCTTCTCGAGAAAAGTACCTGTTACCATCATTGTCTGTTGTGGTTCTCATATCTGAAGCAACTTGGTTGGGTTGGCTTTCTCTCCATTTTTTTCACCACAGTCAAATTGAAAAGTAAGATACTGCCGTATTTTATCGCTAAATCGAATCGATCCTGTCTTGGGTTTGCTCAATGCCCATCCCATTTGTAGATCCGTTTTGCCATTTTTAAGAGACTTCGACGATGGTTGAACAGATTGTGTGGAACTGTTGTCTTCAATTGTGGTAAACTTCTTTGCCCACTCTCTCCTAAGTGTATCAAAAACACTTTCATTCTTGATGAAACGACTGTGCGTTCCAATTTCTCGATGCAGTTCCAACTGGTCGAAAGAATTAAAAACATAGTTGCATCCAGGCTCGTTGCACTCAAACAACCCTTGGACTTCTTCCGTCATGCTATCATTTGTATTTATTTTTAGCTTGCGACCATCTGTGCTTTCCATGAATGGTTCAATGACTTCTATCGCTGTAGGTTCCTGATGAGTTACGTATATTTCTTTATTGGATAATTTCTTACCTTTTCCAATTCCATAGGCCTTCCAGACTTTAATACCGTTTTCAACGTACTCGAAATTGTGGTAAGAACTGACATTTTTTATTTTTATGACGTTTAAATGAGTTGCTGATTTGCTAATTTTAGCCACGGAAATAGATGTTCCGCGTACAAGATGTTTCTTGCTAGCTACGTGCATCTGTTGGGCATCACAGACATCGTGTCCCTCGTTGCAATACTTTGTGACAGATGATTTAAGAGGACATATTATTCTGTCGCATATATCCTTACATTGTTGCGGTTCAGAAAAGTCGTACCTGCAAACATGCAGCCACACCTGTTCTATGTGCAATGTCTTGTATGGCTGTGATCAATAAATTGTTGTGATAACAACCTGCCTCATCAGATCGTAAAAAGATTTTGCGCACCAGTGGTTTTGAAGACTTTATGTGATCAATTAGGTTTTCAAGAATAGAAGCCACTGCAAACCAATCTTGTGTAGTTTGATCGAAAAGATGAACATATGATGTAACGGATAATTCTTCAGTATCATCTGTCTTGGATACAACACTGCTGACGTGCCAGCTCATGCCTCTCTTTCCAAACCACTCTGACTGTTTTTCTCTGTATTTAATTTGTGGAAATTTCATGGCCCAGTCCATCACTGCCAAAACCGAAGACTCGTCTAAATCCCGAAGAACGTTTTGCTTTGCAAGTTCCTGATTAGCGGATCTCATGATTTGCGCTTTCCATGCCTTAATATGATCGTTTGCTTCGTAAAAATCGTCCAGAAGATCTTCTTGGTGTTCTTTGGTAAATAATGGATGAGAATGTTGTTTTATCTTCTCTTCTATATCCCCAACGACGGATTTAATATTATCACAAAAGCTGCAAGTCATAACATGTGAGTGTTTGCATTTCTCTTGAAAATCCTTGTCACATGGATCACTTAGACTGAATGATCGACAATGATCAGCACATGGGGAGCTACTTTCTTGGCAATGTACTTTATAGTCTGTTTTTAAATACTGCTTTCCTGCGTTTAACCGATTTTCAATATCTGTAGACCATGATTTGTCGACGCCAACATTGACAAGTTGTTCCGCAATAAATATCATTGTTTGGAATGCTTTTGAACCATCCACAGCAGTGTTGTCCAATCCACTAAGTGACTTCCTTTGTGATGCCTCCCTTACTTCAAGAATCCTGAAAAGAGTTGATCTGCTTAATGGATCAAATGACTGCTCAGCGCAAAAATGCTGGTATTGCGCAACCATTGTGGACCTTGTTACAGTTCGAATGACATTTGGCATCTCGATCGTTTCTCCACTCTCTAACTTAAGCTTGCGTATCCCAAATGCGACGTCCTGGTGAAAATATGGCCGGTTGACAAAACCAATGAAATGATCCACTTTACTCATGTCCAGGCTAATACGATGTCGCTTGGTCTGTGCAACTGCAACTCCTGGCCCATTTATGCGGGAATGTGCACGAGCTCTTTTGATTTGCCATTTGCTTAACTTGGCATAATGCAGGTATCAGCGGCTTTCCGGGGGGGGGTCGACCCCCGGGCAACTCACGGGCAACCCCCGGGCATGGCACGGAATTTGTTTTAAAATCACGCCCCAGAGACCGGGAATTTAGCCTACATTTGTATTTTGAAAATTAACCCCGGGGACAAACGCCCGGGATTTGCATATGGACTGCTGCTATATCGGTCAGCGGTGATTCATCAAAAAATTCTTAATTATGATTTTTGATTTTTCTTGATTTTTGAAGACGCTTCGAGCCTTCGAAGTTCGAAGCAAATTCGAAGCATTTCGAAGCACATGAACAATATACCGTCGATTGCAACTAAGCAGAAACATGTCATGAGAAAACGCGTCCAATTGGCTGTCAAACATGATTTGTTTGGACTAGAAATTTGGATTTGAAATATTGACAGGCAACTGTCAATATTTCAAATTTAGAAACACATTCATATTGGGCGTGGATTAGCTTGCAAACACTAAATCTGTAATTAAATTCGTCTGAATTAAATTCGAAATACGAAACAGGCCTTATATTTTGCGTTTATAGTGGACAAATTCAGGTTTGCGGTTTGCAATGTTTGTACTAACTTTGTTACGTTTTCGCGGGAAAAATAATTGTAAACCGTCAAATGTTTCCAGCAAAATCATGTGAAGTTTGAAGTCAAAACAAGATCGCGTTTTCTCTGCCTCGTACCCAGGCGCTTTGGTTTGTACACGTGGGACGGCACGCGAGGGAGAAAAAACGGAAAATTAATCCACGCGTCCCACGCAAAGGCCACGCGAGCAATAGAACAACATAGCGCCTGGGTACGAGGCAGGCATTTTCTCATGACGTGTTTCCGCTTGGTAGCAATCGACGATAGGTGAGTGTAATTTAATCCTTTTATTTGTAAATGAATAATTAGCTATCTATCCTCAATAAAGGTTGGAAACACCAGTGAGAATAATTGTTTGAAACTAGTATAAAGGACACAAACTTTTTAAACGTTTTGTATCGGATACTGATTTATTGAACAGGCTAAAATAGCAAACGTATTAATGACAAATGTTCTGTATAAAATTGTGTATGAATTTTTAGTTCAAAAATATCTTCTTTACGGCCTACGCTTCATTGTTTATTGAACGAGATGCCCAAAAATATGTTGATAAGTATATTAACTTACTACAAATTTCTTTGTAAATAACCATTTGTTATATTTGAAATTATTGTTTTCCAAATTTCGCCCCGGAGGTAGGGGTATTTGTAACAAAATTTTGCCCAGACCCACGGGCATTAGTGTCCTTTTGTCAAGGCTGTTTTGACAAATCCCCGGGGTGGCCCGGGGGTCGACCCCCCGGGAAAGCCGCTGATACCTGCATAATCAGAGAGTTTCAGTTGCAATATTAAACTACAGTGGACAATTGTCTCGCTGCGTGCGTTTATTTACAACTTTGTTGAGAAAGTTACTTCCGGGTTTATAACAGCGTAGGTTACAAATGTCACAAATCAATTATGATCCTATCGATCGTGACTAAAACACCACACGAGTACATACGAGTAACATACGAGTAACACACAAGTACATACGCGTAACATACGAGTACACACGAGTAACATACGGCTACATACGAGTAAAATACGAGTACATACGAGTAAAATACGAGAATTAGCACGCTTTCTTTAAAGTTTCTTTAACTTTCACACTTTCACTTTGGCTTCGTATTATGTTCATGTTGTAAATGCCTTATTGACATAGGCGTACGAGACAAGGGGGGGGGGGGGCAACTGCCCCCCAAATTTTGGAAAACCATGGAAATTCGGGCAAACGCTAGGAAAAATCAAGAAAATTCGGGCAGATTTATTTCCCGGGTTTTAAAGATAACCGGTTTCAGTCTATTTTACGTTTTTCGACAGAGAAGACGATATTTTTGCATGTATTCAATCTACAAACACTAAAAACAAGTTTACTACTCGTATTCTACTCGTATGTACTCGTATTTACTTGTGTTTTACTCGTATGTTACTCGTATGTACTCGTGTGTTACTCGTATGTACTCGTATGTTACTCGTATGTACTCGTATGTACTTGTGTGTTACTCGTATGTTACTCGTATGTATACTTGTGTGGTGTTTTAGTCACGATCTTATTTTATCTTGTAGTAAACAATCTTGGAACTACTTTTTCTTTACATACTAGACCGATCGTGACTAAAACACCACACGAGTACATACGAGTAACATACGAGTAACACACAAGTACATACGAGTACATACGAGTAACACACGAGTACATACGAGTAACATACGAGTACATACGAGTAGCACACGAGTACATACGAGTAACATACGAGTAAAACACAAGTACATACGAGTACATACGAGTAGAATACGAGTACATACGAGTAAAATACGACTAGTAAACATGTTTTTAGTGTTTGTAGATTGAATACAGGCAAAAAGATCGTCTTCTCTGTCGAAAAACGTGGAATGGGGGAACGGGGAATGGAGGAACAGGGAATGGGGGGAACGGAGAACGGGGAATGGAGGAACGAGTAACGGGGGGGGGAATCGAGCAATTATAATTATTATTAATACGTAATATTAATCATATGTACGGGGGGAACAGAACAGAAAAAAAGAAACAGAAATTCGACAGGATAAACGGGAGTCGGGGAATTACGAAACTATAAAACGGACTCTGGTGTCTTGGGAATTAGAAAACCGCTCAATGAATTAAAACTAGTAAAGAAATTTGGCGAAGCTTTCCTTTATTAGCACAGCGTATCATAAAAAAGTCAATCCACATTGCTTATGTCCGATCATTAAGTAATATTAATAATAAAAACATTGCTTATGTCATTACTAATACACTTGCTATATAATAAAACAAACTTAAGGACTAGATGCAAGCCCAAGGCGGTCCTTATGCTCCATATGATATCTTAAAGTGATTATCCTATTTTAAATATCTTACAAAGCAAAACTAACAAAACACAAAATACTTCAAAATACGCAGATTTTAAGTTAGCAATTTAAGTTGGCAAGTACGTTTCTAAAGGACCCAGCCGAACTCTCCTGCAAGCCTTTGGACGTGCTCCACCTTCAGAAGGGGAGGAAAGTCTGGAGGAACAAGAACGTCGCCAAGAAAGCTTGGATACTTTGCTCTGATGCAGGCTGATCGGAAATGAAAATGCACGTTCTGAGGCTCACTTTCCCCCCCCCCCCCCAGGAAAAGTCCCTTTTTCCTAAATTTATACAAACAAACCAGCGAAGAATAACAAATTGATAAACGGAACGTACTTTTTAGGCTTTATCCATGGTCCTTGTTTAACAAAATCGATTTAAGGGACTGTGTCACCGCGTGCGCATCCTACGTGTTTCTAACACTAAGTAATGATAAATTATTGTTAATATTTTTTAAATTCTTTGTGTGTTTTTTCCTTCTTTTATTTCAAATAGAAGTATAGTTAGAATAAAT